CGATCACAACACCTAATGCAAGTAAACGAATTATGATCCAAAAGGCATGATAGCGCGACATTTCTACAAAACGACACTCGGCCTCATATTAGACAACAATTTCATAAAACATTAGAAACATTAGAAACATTAAAGCGAGATGTGTCATCATTTCCATCCTGTCCACTATTAGTTGCTTTTCCCCATTCACAAATATACGGGCATCGCGTTCGGGGCGAAAGCATACACTACGATACAATCGTGTTGCTAAGCAACTCAAAGTGGATATATTCTGCGCTTTGAAAGACCTTGGGGTTATGTAAGCCTTGTGATGAATGTAAAAGCACAATAAGCCGAGTCGTGCCGACTCATTAAAGATGTGCTTGGTCAGACCATCAATTAGATTTGGACGCTTTGCCTTAGGTTCGGCGCATAAAGAAGAAGAAGAGAATGGAATAAAACCCGTCTGCCTAGGTTGGCGTAATAAATCTTATAAAACTCAAAACATGACCTTAGATTGTGTTAATCCAGACTTGGGTATGGTTTTCGCATCTTCGTCCATCTTCTGTCGCGATCTCTCTGGCCCATTATTACCATAAGCGAACTCATTCACCCATTGTCAAGTCAGTATCAATCCCTTCAAAAATGGGCCGACTTTGTTTCGTTTTCTTAAGTACAATAGCTTTTAGAAGCTTTTAAGTTCTAGTTTTTAACTTTGGCATTAAACAAGATTTAATTCTATGTTTATGTTAATGTTACGAAAATCCTACAACCGATGGTTTGAGTTTGCATGAAATCTAATCGATTTTCTAAGAAACAAAATTCCAAAATAGAAAGGACGACCCAAAGATATACATATACATGACGGTTCACCTACCGCCTGGCACCTGGCGATTGTTGAAAACATTAACAACAATTGTCGGAATATTTCGTGGAAAAAGGGATTCGCACAAAAATGCTGCATTAAAGTTGGGTAAGCGGAATATCTGCGGGTTACAAATTTCTGTAAATAGTTTGTAAATTTGTAGATTTCCTAAGAATTTTACAGCACTTTTTCGATCAATCCCCGGTCTTATGGTCTTATTTTGAAAAGCCGTTGTTGCTGTGGAAAAAAGTGCTCCAAATTGGTACGAAAAATTTCATTCGGCCGGCTAGTGCGGAATACCGCCCCAGGAAACTTAACTGGGTGTCCGGATTGACGATCGACCACTCTAACATATTATAGTAGTGTACTGTACTGTAGTGCACTGTTATACTACACAGTAGCCATATAAAGGTAGGTAATTTCTTTTAAAGTCTATAAGGTTAAAGAAAAACGGAGAAGCGATAAATTTTTTTTCAATTTGAACTTGTGACTAGAAACGATTTTGAGAATTTACATTTTGTTCCGTCTTCTAAACGCTTTTTAAGATAACGGGTGACAGGTATAAAAGATTCGATCTTGGAATGGATAGAGTTGAGTAAGAACAATGGGAAAAACTTCGTCGTGTTTCCCTTAATAAATGACAAACTGCATCCGAGTGCAGTGTTTTGTAATTTTTCTTAAATATTAAAAAAAAAAAAAAATGTTATTTAATTAGATCATTGACGCGCTTAGGTGTATTTCAATTCTCTACGTATGTGTACTTGACGTGACAAATATTTTAAATTGCGATGCTCGATCTTTCTGTTTGCTTCTTTTGATGACCGCAAGCCAGAACGGGATAAGAACGGTAATAAAGGGAAGATAACATAGTATTATGTGCTAGAAACGAAATAATCTTTAAGTAAAGAGTTACTCATAAATAATGTCATTTAGTTTAATGCTTTTAGTTTGACTTATACACGTATAAAAACTGCTTATATATATATAATTGAATATTCAAAAACTATTAACTGAAGGAATTGTTGTTGAATTGTTGTTTTGTTATTTAATTTGTTGTTGTTTAATTTCTTATAAAAAAAAAAGGCTTTGTAAGTATAATTAACTTTCAATACCAGTTACTTGTCGGGGACTTGATGTGAATTAAATAATATTGCATGACGTCATTGTTTATAAGCAAATCGTACAATTTGCATATGTACAAGAAATTATAATTCTGCGTTTGCGTCCAGGGCAATTTTACTACCCCCCGAGAGATGACATGTCATATAGCAGGCGCATAAAATTCATGAAAAATCAGATAAGTGTTTAAATAAGTGTTCAAGACTCGAGACAAGAAGAGTGATTCAAGAATTGTATAAAATTACCTCACTTCACATATGTGTTATCAAATACGGGGCACGCACTAATTTTCTCACACCGTTTTTAGTATTCAAATATATATATATATATATATACATATATACACTTTCGATTTAATTATGTTGCATCCGTAGCATCTCTGCATTTTTTATTTATGGAAGTTATACTAAATAAACAATTCTACCCACAGTGATTGTTTTGTGTTCTACTCCTTCATGCACAAAGCCATATTTATATTGAATATGTTACGCTCTAGTTTGATGATTAGCAAAATTTTGCTATTCGTTGCTCGCACTCTATCACTCGATCTCATTTGGTGTCATCCATAAGTGCTACGTATTTAGCTTCAGCATTGAAGGTGACGAACAACTTTTTGTTTATTTGCCATCCCTGAAATGAAACTATCTACGAGTAAGGAACAAACATTTGTTTAAGACTTTCTCTCACTTACGTCTTCTGTCCAGACAGTATAAAAGAAAACGAAACCCATAAGTTCTTTTCTAAGTGCGCATAAACACTACCCGTTTGTTCACGAAAGGGAATCTCATAAATAGTTGACAGCAATTATGAACATGCCATGCTTAACATGACAGTGTCATACGCCTTATGCAGCTGGTGATTGACCAAAAATATTAACGCTGCATCCGCGGAGCTTCAACGGATGCAGCATATTAAATATCTTTCTCGTATTAACAATGTGAAAAAGTGGGGTGGATGAAAACCCGATCAGAGATTTGAAATGAATTTTCCCTTGTTAACGTACAGCAGTTTCTTTTGATTGCATTTTAGCTATTTACACCTGTTATTGCTTAAGAGTGAATATGTAAGAAAAATTGATTGATTGGCTGACGTATTTATCTTAGAAATGGACGGAAATTTTTTTATTTATTATAAAAGAAGAAAAATCAAAGTATTTGTATACAATGCACGAATTATTTTATTATTTGTAATGAATTATAAAAAGAAATTCGATTCGTTCGTACGCTTTTTGAATGACGAACTCTGAATGTATTTCAAATATAAATCGCATATGCTACGCATGAACTTGTTAATAGCAAGATTTCCATTAATACCTCAGCCGATGCATCCATCAGATTTTTTAAGAGTGTAAGACAGAAACGACAAGTGGGTGACGTCTGCCCGTCGCGTTTTCTTATGTTCAACTTACTTGATATTTTAAAAATATTTGGAATAAATTTTGGTTCATGAAAATGTACCGATCTAAGCTTGTCTGTCCGTCTGTCCACCTGTCCGGCCTGTTTTGGCTCGGGGACTAATGCTCTCGAAAATGGTTCGGCACAAGATTTTGTCTTTCAAAAAATTGTTTTCAAAAAACAACGGCTCCAGCCGAAATAAATTTTTCAAGCCAAATTAAAATGTGGAAGTATTATCGTTCAGCGGATGTTGTCGAGCAATTTTGAAAATTGCAATGTCTTTTCCCTATAGCGACTTTTCAAAGTAAGGTGTTAATAGGTAAATCGAAAAAGCGTTCCAGTCCGAACGCTTTCCAATAGCTTTCGTCCTCGGGCCGAAACATGCGGGTGTAACAGATTTCATCAACATAGGCCCAAAATCGCTAGACTAGATAGACTGGGGACAAATTTACATGGACTGAGATCAAAGGGACAGGCAGACAGACAGACAAGTTCAGATCATTGATTATTCAGAATTCAGAATCATCTTCTAAATCGATCGGTATAACAAGAGGTATATCTATATTAAGTATATTTAAGTGTTAGATACGTTTGTACAAACTCAATATGTACACCCTTTACCACAAGTTGTGTAGGGTACAATTAACGGTAGAAAATTTGCATCACAAATTTCTTAGATCACAATATAAATAAAGGGATTACCCCGAAAAAGGAATAGGCCCTTCTAGTTTTTTATGATGAAGACTGAAGAATAATACAATCTTTAAGATGTCAACTAAGTTTGCTAAAGATAGATTAAGTCAGGTGATGTTTTGAACGTCTTTCATGTACATATTGGCAAATGTACTATTGCCAAAACGAGTTAATTAGCTGCACTAGGTGAAGTGGTCTAAGGTATTTAAGGTATACGGTGTTGCCCGACTATAATGTTGTTCACTTTTTAATTAATGAAAATGCCTCCCGATGCAAATATTTAAAAAATCGCAATAAGATAATTAATCAAAAATTCTATAAATGTGCAGAAAGCATCGCTTATGAATTTTTTTTAAAATAAATTTATAACTGCTTCAAAGTGTGTTAGTGTCGCTATGATAATAGAAAACATTTTTTTTTTTCTATATTCAGCCACGTTAAGATTTGCGATTTTTTATTGTATAGCTTTATGAGTTTAATATGATAGATCGAACTTCGGATGCCCATTGCTTGAACATGGAAAAGTAGAAAAGTGCGACTTTATATATTTAGTATGTCAAAGTCGATAGTAAGATAATTTTCCTCCTTTTTCTGAGGTCTTCAAACTTTCAATATCTAAGGTAAGTAAAGTTGGTCTTAAATTCAAGCGTCAGAGGACATGTTAAGCCCATGGATCTGTGTTCTACATTACAATCAAGTATCGTGCCTAAATTATTAAGCTATAGATATTAATGAGGGCTTGATAACCCAATTTACCATTCACTCACAAAAGTCACTATATATATATATATATTATATATATATAATTGAATATATATGTAATCTTAGGTTGCTTAAAAGTACCTTGTAAAATTTTCAATTAATGTGTGGTACAAGAGGTATGTTAAAATTAATTTATTTACACCCTTCTGAGTATAAAAATGATGCACTAAAATAATCTGATTTTAGTTGTAAAACAAAAGGCAAACAATTAATTACGGAACGATATTCTCAAAATACATTAAATAAATAAATAAACAAATACATGCAAAGCAGAAGAAAATGAAAAAGTTTGCAACTCTAAGAAGTATTCTAATGTTATTAGCATTTATGAATCCATCGTTGAGTTTTACAAGTTTTGACGATATTTTCGGCTCAGCTACAAAAGTGGGCGGCTTCATTGCTAAAGACTTGGCAAATTTGGTGTCAAGTCCCAAAGTAGTGCTCGATAAGGCTACAGATGTCGGAACTTCTTTGCTATCTCCTGCGAAAATATTTGATGCCAGTAAACAGTTAATAGCGGGTCTACCTTTCGAGGTCTTAGCGTCAGCAATTCACGCGATTTGTAAGCAAACATTTATGTACGCATCAAATCAAATTTCATCTCGAATTATCATAGGGAATTATACGCTCACTCGATTCGATTGAAGAATGTCGTTAGTAGCGACAAATGTCACATATGCTAAAGTGATTTACATTTGTTTTTTTTTTTTTTTTTTATGTTTCAAAATTTTTGTATAGTAGATAAGCCTGAAATTCTTAATCTACACAAGCGCGTATTTTAATTGCTTTCTAGCTGAAATAAATTTGAAAAGATGTATTCGCGATGTTAGGCACAAATATCTATCTGGTAGAAAATTGCCGAACGAGTTGCTGTGAATTCATCTCTCAAATGTTTAGTGATATGCTGGCTAACTCTTAAATGTACTCAATGTTGTACTAAGTGTTGTTTGCAAACTATTAAAAGTGTAACATTTTTATGCCCATCACCAGGGGTGTTTAGGTTAGTAGAGAAGAAATACTCAGCATACGGTGTATTAGACGAACACACGGACATGCTTACGTATCTCTCGTCCTTCCGTGATGATTATCGACAAGCGATCCTTTTTTGTTTGCTTTTATAACCAATCTGCTAATTAATATAATACTTATGTGAGTTGAATTGAAAAGCTTAGATATCTTAATACATGAAAATATGAGCATATCCTACGTTAACGTTAACGGCTCATAGGTCAATCCTTTGAAGATACTTTGCGAATAAGCTCAATCTCATGAAAGTAATAATTGTAAGAATAATTAATTGTGGATTTTGTGGATGAAATCCATCCAATTTTCGACATTTGTCGAATTTAAATTTGTTTCTTAGGTTCGCAGGCTTTGTCATCGAATGTCATTCAACCGAAGATTTTGCCCGATATTGATCAAATGCAGTTTCAGTTGCGAGCACAATGTAAGCGTCAAAGTATTCCATTGCTTAGAGCTAATGAAATGTGGAAAATGGCCGAATTTGATCCCAGCAAGAAAGTTGTAATATTAGCGACTGGTTGGTCAACAAGCATTAATGATAGCGTTTCCATCGATGTGTTCGCTAAGGCTTTCCGTTGTCGTGGAGATATTAATTTTGTGGCAAGCATACATCCTTCTGGTGCTTTGAATTAATATAAATTATAATCGAACATTTGTTTTTTCTTTAGGCTGTCGATGTCGCCCGGTATGTGGATACCTTATATACATGGTCAGCCCTTAATACAGATATATTAGGCAAATATATTGCGGAAGGATTGAAATTTTTAATTGACGTTGTTCCAGTTAAAAATATTCATTTAATTGGGCACAGCTTGGGTGCTCATATAATGGGTGCGGCCGGCCGTCAATTTCAGGAGATGACCCATTTAAGAATACCTCGTATAACTGGCTTAGATCCAGCTAATCCCTGTTTTAATGAGGGCGATGCCTTATCCGGCCTAATGCGCGGTGACGCTGACTTTGTTGATATCATTCATAGCAATAGTAACGTATTAGGCAAAGGTCAGCCTATGGGTGACGCCGATTTCTATCCTGGCGGTTTAAAACCTCTGGCTGATGGTTGTTTAACAGTTGCTTGTTCGCACGAGAGAGCCTGGCAGTATTTTGCAGAAACTATTTACCCTGACAATGAACGCAATTTCGAGGCGTACCGATGCAGCTCGTTGGCGGGAGTCGAAAAGGGAGAATGTAGATTTCAAAGCGCCTTTATGGGTTATGCTGTAGCAAACGATATTAAAGGCAACTACTTTATGATGGTAAACGAAAATCCACCATATGGTCTGGGCGGAAGTGCACGGAGTGCGGCAGTGCAGGAAAATTGCGGTGCGTGTCCGTACTATTAAAAGAAACTTATTAAAACAATAAAAAACTTGTGTGTTTGGCTTTTAATATTAGTTTTATTAAGGCTTTTCTTAATGCAAAAACTACTTTACTTTTATATCGTTATTGTGTAGCTTGGAAGTTCGCGAGCTTTAAGTTGAACTTTTAATTGTCAATGATTTTAATTGAAATAAAGTTAAACTGGAATTTTTTTTTTTTTTATTTTGTTTTTTAGTAGAGTTTGTTTGTGATGAAAGAAATTTTAAGTCGAGAATCCTGCTCGCTTACTATACCAGAAACACACAACCGAAGAATGAAAGTATGTTTGTGCAATAAGAGCTGCGATCTCTATGTTTGTAAGATAATTATGAGTAGAAGATCGCTGCTATAACGTAGCTCTTGCTTCACCATTCATGTTTCAACGTTATTGGAATCCTTGCTTAAATATCGATATGAACCTTTACTTTGATATTTTGCCTGAGCTGGGACATTTTTGATGCCTTCTAGTATACACATGCTGTTTGACGAAGCAAAAGTCTGTTGCCGCCAAATCTGGCGAGTCCCTTCATTTTGTGAAATGATCTGATGCTTCAAAATGAACGCTAGAAGTGAGATTGCAATTCTTCTGAGATGTTTCTGGCATGTTTTTTGTTGCACGATGTAGAAGCTGTTAGTTTATGGGCCGCTACGGAACGCTACAGCTCTGTAACGCTCTACATTCCACGATTACGATATTTTCAGAGGGTGTAGTAGGCACTGAACACCTTTCATAGTTTTTGTTCTTTGACTCAGGCAGGTTGAAAATTCGTGGCAAATATAAAGCCTGGAGGTCAGGCTTATTCAACGTTCCCTCTAAGGGCAATACGTCTTCTATTTGTTTTCCTCTTTTTTTTTTTTTTTTTTTTTTTTTTGTTTTTTTCGTTTCAAATACGATATAATGCAAAAAAAACAAAAGCATAAATATTTTAATGAGCTACTAAAACAATACAAAAAGTTGAGCAAAAATATATGTGGGTACACAGATTTATAAGCGTATGTGGTAAAATATGCGATGATGTTAACTATTGGGAAATCTTTTATCTAAGTATATACATGTGCCCATAGCATGCATGACCTTCGCTCGAGAAAAATTTATTGTAAAGACACATATAATAAATGTTAAGAGCAAGAAACACTTGTAGCGGAAACAAAAACAAAATAAGAGTAAAAAAAAATAATAAATAAATAAATAAAAATAAAAAATAAATAAATTAACAAAAAAAAACAAAAGTAAAAAAGTATTTCAAAAGTTTAAAAGTTGCACAATTCATTCTATATGTTGTAAAGTGATGTGTGATGGAATTAAAATTCGCACAATTATTTTTGGTAAATCACTGTGTTTCTGTGTGCGGCATGTACATCTATTTATGTGTATGCATAACATTAACTGGTTTTCGGAGAGTAGTGCAGCTAAGCATCAGTCATTGAAACAAGAAGCATAATAAACAAATAAAATTTAATAAGTAAAACTAAATTACTACATGTGTTATGCATTAAAGTGTTTATTAATGTCAAATTGTTATTATACAGATATGTACATATGTACATATGTAAGATTCACACAGCCACTAATCGAGAGTATATTAAATTAATCACAAAGTGTCCAAATCGGATATATATCGCATATACATTCTCGTTAGTCTTTTTAAGTTAATTGGAAGGATAGGTTAAGTGTTGCTGCAGTGACATCAAATCGTCCTTCCATTCAAGTCGATCAAGCTTTGTCTGGTACCTTACTAACATATTATACCAGATATGCGATATTCATTTCAAGCTTGACTTGATCGAAGTCAATTTACTTTAAAATTTTATTTATTTATTTATTTTTTTTTTTATGTATTTTCATTTCACTGACACATATATTTTATATATTATCCTAGACAAGTCAATATTAGAATAGTAAGTTCGATGTTTTAAGAGAATGGATTTAGATCACTTTCAAAGTAAACGACATATATATATATATATATATATATATATATATATAATTTATGTGAAGAGGAACAAGTGATGTATCTCTATTCATAAAAGTTTACACATAGAGAGACAACTTGCCCATTGAAACTGTTATACTATAAATGAATCAATCGATCGGGAATATTTTCATTTTCTGGCAAAATTATCCCTACAGGTTATGATGTTTATTGGTCGGTGAACAAAAAACATGAAGAATGCTTATACATTAAAGAGTTACACTGGCCGCGAGGAGGTTCAAAAATAAACACACACACCAGTAAAAGGTGTTACAGATGTGGGGGGTTACTTTACATTGCATAAAATGCAATTTTGAATAAATTTTTAGTTTTCTGTACACGCACACACACACACACACACACACACACACACACACAGACACACAAAGTATTTTGCATATCGGTTTAGTTGGTTTTTTTCCGCGATTATATAGTGATATTCGTTTTTAATTTGATTTTCGTGCTTCGTTCCCGTCAAACTTAGCCTTTTGTTGAGCAATGAGACAAAGAAATTTGTGCGAAGAGCGTTCTCCCCAAACAATCCCGTATATGTGAATGAATGTTCGTGTTTTAATATATTTTTATAAAAAATTTTTCAAATTATGTAATATTTAGCATTATTCAAAGTCTAATTAAACGTTTTACGACGTGTTAATACATATTATTAAACCCACCTTGATAAGCAACAAATGCGACATCAAGTTCATAAATTGATTTGTTTATTTATCATCTGCTTATAATTATTTTATAATGTTAACTAAGAATGTTTCAATTCAATAATTTGTATGAAAGTCTGGCAGAGTAGTTGACCGTGGTCAACATAGTAACATATTCTGGTTTGGAACCAGAAAATGATGGTTAAGACTATAAGAATAACGCGCCTATTGGACGGCTGTTGAAGCTTTAATTTAATCATTAGTTTCTTTTTCTATATAAATATCATACGATATCTATATTATATGAACAGTATTGCGAGTAAACTTCTCAAGTTTAAATAAAACATCTTAACGCGAATCACAATATGAAAGTCTTGATTATATTCTGCGCTTTACTAGCTGTAGCCATGGCTGTTCCTTGGGGCGGTAGTTACGGTTGGGGTGGCAACTATGGACATAATTATGGCTGGAATGGTAACGGTGGAGGCTATTATACTTCGTATCCAGTATACAGGGTTGCACGAACCGGCCACAACGGTTGGGGCTACGGCTGGGGTGGCAATTATCGTAACGGTTGGGGCAATAATTATCATCATGGTTGGTGGTAAAGAGCGACAAGGACGCGTGAAAAAAGTTCTCGGATATCCTGGCGTATTTTAATTTCGTTTAAATTTAATGTTACTCTTAAATTGAAAATAACAAAAAAAAAAAAAAAATGTTTTTTTTTGCTCTTGAATATAAAAATCTTTACTTGCTTTTACAATTGAAAATAAGTGTGTTATTGTTATTTTTGCTTTCCTTTTATTTATTTAATTATTTTTTCTTTCTAATTTGCGAAAAAAATTATATATATATATATATATATATATATATATATAAAAAATTTCGGTAAATAATTTACTACACAGGCCATGGAGTAGTATCATGTGGTGGTGTGCTTTAGCGCTCATATGTAAAGTTGTAATTGCCGAATCGTGTACAAGCATATTTTATGATATCAATCATAGATCATATAATAGATGCGGTGTTATTATTATGCACTCTGGGTGAAACCAGATGTTTAGCTCTTAACCGCGGTAAATACTTTTATGATTAATTGGCTTAGGGGGAATGAAAACACTGTTTGAAAGTTACAGAATGTTTCTAACGGTAATTTCGGTATACACGAAATTAAATAAATTATAACTGATGTTGAACTTTAAATATCAACAGTAAACCTAACGTCGTGTGACCATCAGCAATGATAACATCATCTCAAGATAAATCTTGATGAACAAAAAAAAAAAAAAAAAAAGTTGAAAATAAAAAGAAATCAGCAAAGAATGAATGAAAAACATCTGAAATGTATAAAAAACAAGAAGTTTCGGATACATAAAATAATAATAATAATATATTAGTTTGGGGAAAAAGAAATCCATTATTTTTATATGAACTTCAGGACTTTATTTAACATGCTTCGGATTGTCCGATTTGGGTCAAATATGCACCGTTTTGTTGTATGGTTTGTTGCCATTTTAAAGGTAACTTCAAAATGCCTCTCTCATAGAAGTCCTGGTCTCTATTTGCAAAAAACTCTAGTAGTCAATTTTCACAATCCTCCCTAGGTTTCAATTTTTTATCATTAAAGAAATTTTGCAGTGCAAGAAAAAGATGATAATCGCTTGGTGCCAAGTCCGGACTGTACGGCGAATGCATTAAAACTTCCCAACCAAATTCCCGAAGTTTCTGGCGAGTCACTGTAGATGTGTGTGGCCTAGCGTTGTCCTGGTGGAACACGATACCCCTCCTGTTGGCCAATTCTGGCCGTTTCTGGTCAATCGTTATCTTCAAACGGTCCAGTTGTTGACAGTAGAGATCAGAATTTAGCGTTTGGCCATATGGAAGCAACTCATAATAAATAAACCCCTTCCAGTCCCACCAAATGCACAGCAAAACCTTCCTGGCCGTTTGAGGTGCTTCACCGCTCTTTGACCACGATCGTTTTCGCACAGGGTTATCTTATGTGATCCATTTCTCATCTCCAGCCACCATCCGTTTAAGAAATGGGTCTATCTCATTCCGTTTGGCCAAGGCTTCGCAGATGGAAATTCGATCCATCATGTTTTTTTCTGTTAATTGGTGTGGCATCCAAACATCGAGCTTCTTTTTGAATCCAGCTTTGTGTAAATGGTTTAAAACTGTTTTATGGTCGATTTTTAGCTCCCGGGCGATGTTATCAATGCTAACATGCCGGTCAACTTCGATCATTTCTCCGATTTGATCGACATTTTCGACGACCGGCCTACCTGTGCGAGGTGCATCTTTATCATCAAAAATTCCTGAACGGAATCTACGAAACCAAAATTGCACATAATTGGCTGTTACAGTATCGGAACCATAAACACCATCCACAATTTTAGCCGCCTGGCTTGCATTTTCGCCTTTGTCAAAGAAAAACTGTAAAATGTACCGAATTTTCTCTTTGTTCACTTCCATTTTTAACACGCTGTAACTCACAACTGCATGCACCAAACAAAAAACAGCAAAAGAATTTTTTTTACTGCGAAATGTCACCTTTCCAACGAGCATAAATCTGAAATTGTTTGATCGATACTTTACGAGAAATCTATCAGTGCAGCCGTCTACCAAAAAAATAATGGATTTCTTTTTCCCCAACCTAATATATGTTAAAAACAAGTCCCGAAAACATAAACCAACAACAATTAACCTTGGGTGTATGAACTTTAGGTTGCTTCAAGTTTTTCAGACAATTAGTTTATTTGCCTCTTTTTTTATTGATACGCCTTTTGAAATAAAAAACAATTCAGCGAAATAAATAAAGAATAAAAAACGATGGAAAGGGAGGATGGCCAGGGCGAAATGTGGCCAGAGTACACAATGCCCAAAGGCATGATAACATGAGCTATCTTGATACACAATGCGTTTAAATAAATAAAAATAAATTAAAAGTTAGTGAAGACTTTAAGGATGATCTCTGAGGGGTTTGGGTGTCTCAAGAGTTTATCAGCTCAAGGTCGTAGATTATTGTACGAAACATATTTAGTTTTTAGAGCAGCTTTAAAATTTTTGTTTGGTTTACGTTTGTCAAAGGAATCGCTGAACGAAAAACTTATTTTGTATATCTAGATAAACTTTCTTTCGGGCTTAAGGTAATTAAACATGATTTTTTGCTTTGCGTCTCACCTGTCTACGTTATTAATTGTCGATAGAATTCTTGTGTTCCCGTGAGCCTTAGTTAATCTAAGTGTCTAAACTGAACAAATGGCAATAATTAAAATTGGGTGGTTCTTTCACCCTATACTCATATGATCAACGAACGCCCTTAATACCGGCCTTTATGTATCAAAATCGATTCGTTTATGTGCTTTCGTAATATTCCATGTTAATGCGCAACAGATATGCATGGAGGGTGAAAAGAATATTATGACTTTATGTGATCGATGCAATTCCCCGTAAACGATTATTAGCCTCTTTTACTAAGTAATGAATTTTTTGTAAAAGAAGTTTAGCGTCTGCACCTACCTTGATGGCCTACCAGACGAAACTCAAAAGTGAGAAGGCCTTTTCGAAGACTTGAATACCAGATTGTACTTAAAATCCTCCGCTCTCTACAAGGCGAAACCTACCTGCACCTGTAATTATTGAATTTTTCCTTCTCCCCTTCAGTAAGGACAACCACAGCCACTAGGAATATTCTCAGAAAGGCCACGTTTGATCAGTTAGGTCTGACGCAACGCTAGTTCAACCGAATTATTCGCAATACTATCACTTCTGCTTAGGGATCCCTAGAGCCATTCTCCTAAGCATATGTGATATACGGGTGAGTGGGCAACTTCACCACCGTCGGCCACGGCGTTGTGATTATCGCCATTATGCGTGTCAGTGTTGTGCATACTCTTATCCACATTTCCTGGATTGCAATTGAAATCCTATCCTATAGAGCAGATATTAATCCAACATAGTCAGGCATCAACACACACACTACTATACTCCTTTGGTCGCTCAATAAGTTTTGAGCACACCCAGGAGTCGGCATGCAGACGACTCCTAACACTCGGATTTTTGTCACTGGGAACGTTGGGGGCTAAGAAGATTTTGATCTTTTTGTTTTCAATTTGACTCAAGTCCTTCCTCATCAGCCTCTCAAACCAAGCTTTATCAAAGCGGTAACGAACACCGCTTACATAGGTTTGACTGTAAATAGCCTTAATTGTATGGATTTTAATTGCGGAATCTTTAATTTATTGATTTAAAATGTCGAACAATAAATTAGAAAATAAGACTTATTGTTACCATATATTTCTATTAATTGAAAATAAATAAATAAATAAGCAAGTAAAAACTATTATTTGAATCTTTATAAAACAATAATTTATTACACTAACATAACCGTAAAATATGAGAGATGACGCAGAGGCCGCAGTACTCAATATAGGGCATAAAATTAAGTAACATTATAATACAGGATTGAAGCAAAAAAAAGGAAAGAGCTGGGAAATAGGTAAGAAGCAAAAAAAAAAAAAAAATAAAAAATAATAATAAGGACTCTCGAGAATATTTGAGTTGGGCAAATAAGGATTTCGCGATATGGTCAAGTGGTTCAGATTCCAGTTTTCATTTATAATATCTCCAGAAGATTATCTCGACTCGAATGCCAGGATATATAAAATGAGAAAATTCAATTAACATTAATGTTAGGACTATTCATATTTTATTATGGCAATACTGTCGACTTCTCAACTCTAAGATTCTTATTCGATTTCAATGGTCTTGTCCGCACAGAGTCTATTTGTATACATTTTTATAAGCATATTACTATTACCTAAGTTCATGGCTTCATTTTTAATCCTTTAACCTGCCTTTCCGTTAATCGTTTTCCTCGGCCGGCAGCTGCATGACGCGCCGCGAATGTGCACTTGCGTTTTCTTTGTCTACGTAATTTATTATTTAGGAAAATCAAATATTTGGAATGAATTGGATTTGAGATTTCCGTAGCAATATCAAACATTCGGGAACGTTAAAGTCAGTTATGTTAACGATAAGTTCGTTGTGGTAGATGATGTGAAAAGTTTTTTAAATATTTAAGAGAGTTTTTTGTTTTTTTGGAAGTAGCGTTTAAAATGTTTGTCAGTCTGTTATAACTTGCTATGTTTTGCTTAAATCATGTCTAAGGTCGAATTGCTGATTGGTTAAAATCGATGAGCACTTGATAAACTATCAATTCTTAGTTTAATACCTATAGTTATTAAATATTTAAACGAATATTTCTTATATATGTATGGTGGATAATATCAATTAATTTAAAATACTTTCAAACTATTTTAGTTACTTGATAATTACTCGTACGATTTTTCCATAAAAATAATTTTGAATTCTATTTAACCTTGAAACGAACGCCTGAAGATTAGCAAAGATGGTGAATGACAGACTTATGTCTTTGAAAAGTATTTTTTTTTTTTTTTTTTTAATTAAATAAAAAAATTATTTGGTTGTCGTGGTTGCTGGTTTCTCCAAACTTTTTGTTGGCCAATATACGGGGTGGGGTTTTTTTTTTTTTTTTTTTTTTTTTTTTTTTTTTGTTGATTATTCGTTTTATAAGTACGTACACATGTATATATATATACACTATGTGATATTTATTCATCTGACAAACAAATTAATAGCTTTTCATGTTTTAAATAAGACACTTGCCAAGCATGATCTGTATGAATATATA